GTTTTAAGAAAGCGACCTTGACACGTCAAATCGATCAGACGCTGCACACGTGTTTAAACACGTTATTTGGAATCTGGCTCCTCGTCTCGAATTCTGCGAACAGGAAACGAAGGTGGCAGGGAAGTAGACAGGCCAAACACTCCACAAAATGCAGAATTTATTTAGTCACTGTAAGACCATCGACTTACTCTTTGCCTCTTATTTTTCTGCACCTCCACACTGGGCTACTTTATCGTTTGTCCTTCAAGTTTGGGGTCATCGTACTTGAACCGCTGAGATTCTCTTCAACGTAGTATCTCCTCTTTAGAATGGAACTCTCCTAAACGCATTTTGCAGTGTGTGCTGAAGTGTGTGCGAAAATTTGTGGTAGGACTCACGCAAGCGTAGCTCCGATGCTCTGTGCGCGCTGAGAGTGTTACCTGAACAGTCTTAGCTATTTTACGCATTCCCACACTTTTGTGTGTTTGAAATTCCCACTTACCAATTAAAAATTCGCTGATGAACTGATATTTCAAATTCCATCAAGAATTTGATGAAGGTCAACGACAGACAAATAAGTGAAAAGGAATTTTGGCTACTTTGATTGAACTGGGAATTTGGTGTTTTTGATCATTCTGAAAATTATTGTGCACTATTACTGAGCAGGTGGAGGATAGCACCATACACCAGACTCCGGTTCAAGGTCTTTTTAGGCATTTTAGCTGCGTAATTGAACTTTACCAAGCTGTTGCCCCAGCTAAGCAAGTTCACAATTTGCTTAGATAAGTCAATTAGACATAGGTGCTAGCTCTGTTTAAAGGTCAGATATCAGCAGATCTGGTGAGAAAGGACGTTTTCTTTAGTTAAAGTTGATGGCATTTCGTCAATTTTTCCTCGGGAAAATTTGAACTAAGGTCATTATGGGGAGAAAATGGTTTGGATTACCTTGCTGCAGCACATCGCTTTTGCCTCTCTCACCTCCACAACTGAAGAGACAAAGCGATCAGACAACAGCGTTTTTAATGCTATTTCCATCACAAACTTTCAGTCTAATGCCCACGATGATTGGCCATAAGCGTACCTGTTTACGTTCCTGATTTTGATTGGTGCACACTGTCCCACAAACGTGAGAACATGCACAAGCTTCCTGATTGGTGGACTGTCGTACTCACGGTGTACGGAGACCCCAACAGCCAAAGTCGTTTATCACTAACTTGTCTGATGAAACTGCCAATTCTCTACCACACAATCGCCTGGAGCTTGTTGAGTTGGCTCATATGGCGCGCCATTTGTCCTAACACGACTGTGGTGGGCTCGCATTTGTGCTCTTAATTTTAACGACTGTCATCTTTTTCATTAAACCTATTCATAGTCACAAAAATGGCAGTTATTGCTTCTATTTACTGCCATTAATCGAGGGAGGGATTTAAATTTGTCGTTGTAAAATGGAAGGTCAAAATATGGATAAGGTGGCATCAGTTAACAGTTGGAAAGAGTTTCGAAGCTGTGGAATGAAGTCTGTAAGATCAGTTCTATTTAACGCTGGCTGATCCCAAACAAACTAAAAAGCATTGAACCTGGGGTAGGAATAAAGTTAATTCAGAGGATTTCAGTTAAGAATAAAATTTAGCCTGTAACCATCTGCAGTTCACTGAAGACGAGGCAAGTTAGCGCATGACTTCTTAGTGCCAGGCACATTCCATACCTCCGAGTATTTAAACTGATTGTCTCCACTGTTGCCTTGTCTGAACTTCAAGCAAGAAACGTGAGCCGAGACGCCACATAGCGGTAAAGCATTGTCATAATTTTGTCGATTGGAATTTTCCACGTCAGTTTTCGGTGATTAGTTTCGCTCTAAGGAAGTACATCTTTCACTGTGCAACAAAAAAATTTCGCATGACTTCCCTGCCTTATTCTGCTGATACCAAGGCCTGGTTTAGTTCTTCCGGTAGGCCCATTAGAATCGCATAAATCGTTTCATATGGATTCAGACTATTTTCACCCGTGTGTTGTGTTTTGAGGTAATTCAGGTTTGCCTATTTATGCCTGAGCGGGCGCATTCTAAACATTGCGATTGGAGGATTTACCAAGCGGGGGAAGCATAGCGTGAGTCGATGGTCGTCCTGCGACTAAACAAATTCTGCATTTTATGGAGTGTTTAGCCTTTCTACTTCTAAGCCACCTTCGTTCCGAGTGTGTAGCCTTTGATACTTGCGCATAAAACTGTTTTAGATGTAACAAACCCAGCATATACGCCCTCTGCACTGCTTCATCGGTTACATTTTAAATTTAACTTCGGGCATAAGTGCCTCTTCGACAGAAAGGGCATTCGCTGATCCAAAGAGCCAGATTCCAAATAACGTGTTTAAACACGTGTGCAGCGTCTGATCGATTTGACGTGTCAAGGTCGCTTTCTTAAAACCAATGTCATTCCCGGACATGCGTCTGTTTGGGCTCACAACGAATGCCGTGGAACAATTTGAGCAACTCGAAATGGAATCAGCTGGAATTAGAACTATTGCGATGAAGGGTCTGATCAACGAGCCCTTATGAGTGGGTGTGAAATTGCGTTTTGGAGAAATCGGGAATTTCAATATGTGGAGAGAAACTACTGTAGTATTCGAGTAAGGTATTCTATCAGTCAGTCGTTGAGAAGCTACGAAGAAATTGGGTGATGGGGGCAAAAGTAGAGTGAGTTCCGCCTTAATTTTCAGTCCCCACCACCGCACGCACAATTCAAAATGAACTTCCACGGTTTCCATTATGAAGTTGTGGTAAACGGTGAAGGGGCAGTGACGCGATTTCTTCTCCGACAAGGTATGTTGATAGGGCAAACACCCTGGTGCTGAATCGATGGATGGATGGCGATTGCAAACTGGATGTCCGTGGAAGTACAGATGAAGCGGCTGCTGGTAGGTCCGATCAGTAAGTAGGAAGAACAAATTGGGACTTGAACGGAGACTGCACGGGAATCGGAGAAGCTGTGTTACATTTGAGAGTTGGCAATCTGTCTCTACAGCCGTGACAGGATGCCACTGGACGAAGCACTAGATGTAGCTGATAAATCTGTCAATGCAATGGTTGTGTGATCCATATAGTGCCGGGAGATCATTTCCGCAATATTAACTGTCGCTACGTGAGCAAACGTGAATTGAACACTGCGAAGCGCAATAGAAACGGAGGAGATCAGATGAGTGGAGTGGTATGTAATATGGAAATGTGCCTGCCGAGGACAACCGTATCGGTCCGATGCAGAAATGCTGGAAGTACATTTGATGCCGTGTAGAAACATGAGTCATGGAATGTGCTGTTGTGTCGATTTCGGGATTGTTGACGTACACAATCGGGATGCAGTAACTTTGAACCCCTTCAGTGAATACGAAGAAGAACGGGATTCGACAGCGTGTTGTGATGAATGTCCAGGTAGTTGGCGACTTACTGCAAGAGATTTCGATTGGAAAACCATCGTCGATTGCACGAGATGGAAATTGAGTTTGTGCGACTGCTAGTGCGCGCACAGCCAGCGAATTAAGACGACGTGGTGGGTGGACAGGAAGCTTGAGATTTTGAAAAGAATTGCACAGTCAAACAGCTAGAACACTTAGGGTTTGTCCAGTACAGGCATGTTTCAACCAAATTTTCACACAATAGGTGACATTTTTCAGATGTGCTTCTTACACTTCGAATGACGCTAAAGTGGAACAAACTGATGCCCTGTGAAGTTTTTAAGACCACTTACATGAAGCGGGGAGAACGATTTACTTAGTAAATGCAATTCTCACGGAACCATTTCACTGGATTATCTAATTTACAAACACTGTCCTTTCTCGTGGATTTCGACACTTTTAGAGGGCTACCAAATGACCATTCGCCCGAAAAATCACAGTTCATTCTCTTAAGTGCAGGTGTCCAATTGGCTGTTAGGTGTCCGAGAAATAATGAAGTAATGTATTATAATAATAATGCATTTGTCGTCTAACAATTCGGATGTGATAATTGTAGTAGGAGATAACGGAATGCATTAAACACCTGCGCATGTGTTAGTCATTACATACAGATGTAGGGTGGAAGGGGCGCTGAACAGGGGGTGCACCGTTTGTTCCTCCTTTACATGCAGGACACATACACCAACGGAGAGAGACAGGGTGAATGGGTTCAGCTGCATAGAGAGGACTGGGCTTGTCTCTATCATGGACACACAAACACAAGCGCAAACACTTATATGTATATATCAACAGGCTAGGATACATATCACATTTGGGCAGTGGGCGCACAACAACGGTTATGTGGAAGAAGTGGAATGATTGGGAGTTGAGAAGGTGAGGAAGGGAGTCCATCATCGTGGCCAGACACCCCACCACTTGTCCTGCTTCTCATACTTGGCTGCGAGGAGAGCCGCGGTTTTGCTGAGGTTCTTGGACTGGTCCATCATCTCCTGGGTCTGGGTGTCCAGTTGGCCGAGTTTCTCGCCTCGTTCGATGGCAGCGTTGCGCGCTCGCGCGATCTCAGACGTCGCGCCGCCCGTCTGTGCTCCGAGTCGGTCCATTCGAGCCGAGGGAAGCAGGGCGGCAGTTCCGCTGGTCGACTTCCCTGACTGCTGCTCACCAACTGAAACGAAGGAATCCCTCCGTTTACCATGTTATCGAGGTAATCGACGTTTGGCTATTACCGAGGTGACTCAACTGCATTAGGCGCATTTCCACAACACCAGTGACCTCCATAACCCGGTGACCTACTGAGTGGAACAGTAGGTAATGAATTACGCATCGTTCGAAGTTAAACCAGCATGCATAAAGATCAATCTTGAGCTACTTGCAAGCACTTAAAGGTAATTTATCGGAATCAAGCATTCGTGTATTAGCGACAGAAGACACTAACACATCATGAGATCGAGGATTTGCTAAGTTGAACCGCAAGATGTCTACCACAACCCTCGACATGAAGACTCCTGAGGGATAGGCTTATCTAATCGATTGTAAGTAGACGTACACAGAACATCCCTGTCGGCTGGTGAGAGGCCGCTGCCAGTGAAGAGGTTGGTGAAGAAGTTTTTCTTCGGTGGTTCTGGCATGTTACAGGGCAGGAAGAGCTCTCCGTGCATTTCGCTCAAGTTGTTGCTGAAGCAAAAATAAGTAGTAGTTGTGGCCCTGTACAGAACCCATTAAACATACGTCATTGTACGCACCTGGCATCGTGGTCGCATGACATGTCCACATCTGGGCTCACTTAAGAATGGTAGGCAACCAATTCCTGTACGAATTTCGTCCAATTAAGCGGTGAGCTTCACTTTTGTGAAATTTGGGTTGGTTTTTCACAAACCTAATGGCCCTTAAGCTTTAAAATATGATTGATAAGGAAACATTTACAATTCCAGCAGCCATCTCTAAAGCAACCGCCTTCCCACAAAACGGACATCCGCAGATGTCGTTCATGAAACCCACGTCTAGGGCTGGGGCGTGGTCGTTAACGTCTTTCCAGTCTAGTGTTCAACCCACACTGCTTTTCTAGGGTGGATGCCTTTTTTTTCAGGACTGACTTCGAACTGGGACACTTGTATTGTACCTGTGTCATCAGGGGTATCAGCCAGGGTAACTCCTTGTGACGAGGTCTCAATGACGCCTCATCGGTAGCGGTTGATTGGTCAATCACCTCGCAGCCAAACGCTTGCAACTGCCGCAAGATTTATTGACTATCGATATCGTTGTTGTCGATAGGTAAATTTAGAGCTGAGTTGTACGGGAACGAATAGCCGGGATTGAGGTCTGACTAAGAGATGCGACATATCCAAATGAGACATCAAAAATTTCTGTCAAAGCCGTTGTCTAAATCAGCACAGAACCAACGTTGTGGAACTCTTTCAGGGCATAAATAGAGTGATTACATCATCTACGACAAAGGGCAGATCTTGCGTCTGCAACCATCGCCGATTAATGCGTAATTTCGTTGACAGCTGAGATCTGACGACCAGTGACAGCGCCAATTAAGTCCTTCCACACAACACCACGGAATAATCAGAATAATCAACGAGTACTTCTAAACATTCGCAACACAAACGCTGTTGACAGTGTCTGCCGCCTGGTCGCTTACCTCAAATCAGCGGCCATCGTGATCTTGGTCAGCTCAGACGGCGACGACATGTAGATGGCCTGGCCGAGATTTCCAAATGTGAAAAGACACTGATGGAAGTGCTTGCTCACCGCCCCCACGTCACTCAGGATTCGCAGGGTGGGCAGAGAAAAGATGATCACGTGACCGTTAGAGAGGAGGCAGGAGACGAAGAGGGTCGTGGTGGGCGGTGACGGCGACGCCGATGGTGAAGGCGACACACCCGAGATGGGCATGCGTTGGTTCCCCAGCTCGGCACGAATCACACTGCTGGTCTCAGTGATCTTCACCTAGCGAACAGAGAACCGCGGGGGCTCAGACACAATCACATTCAGCGAAATGAACGCAAATGGCTTTGATTCTGCACAGCTCAATTCCGAACACCATGCATTAAGGCGTTGTTTATGGTTTGACTAGTTCAGGCTCTCCATTATGGATTCTAAATGCGTGGTTTATTTCCATTTTAAGGATGCACTGCGAGGTTGCATTCGATCGACAGCTTACCCTGTTGTAGCAGTTTCTCGATGGGAATCCGATAACCTGTGCGTGCTTCTCCGACACTACGACCATGAAGTGTCGGTCTGCAGAGTCAACAGAAACCTGGTTGCTTCCAGAGCTGGAAAAGGCTTCTTCACAGGAGTTGTTCGTTGCGCCGCCGCCAATGCTTCCACCTTGGTTAAGACCTGTTGAAGGGAAAAGGGTTCCGAAGTATGCAGTCGGTTGAAGAAGGGATTGCGGTGCAATGTTGTCCATTTTGATCAATCAGGGTGCTGTGTCATTAAGGTTATATCACCAAGTTCAGACCGTGAACTGGAAAAGACCTAAGGTCGACTGGAAATCTTAACTTCACAGACCTCAAATGTTGGCAAGGGGACTCTAAAACCCTGAAGCATGCTTCTAGACGACTGGATTTAGATCCAGACGTCCACTTACTGGCTGCATGTCGTGGCGCCGGAGGCGTTGTTGCCGTGGTCGCGCCAAGTCGTCGAAGAGCAGCAGTAGAGGTGGAAGAGAGCTCGCTGCTGCCGAAAATCGCGTCCCCGGAGGCCGCGGCGTCAGGCAGTCGGCCAACTTCAGAACCCGCTCCACCCTCTTCCGGCTGTGGAACAAGCGTCAGACGGGGTGCGAAACTGCCGCCAGTCTCCCACTTTGCCGAGGGCGGATTGCACATCTCGCCGTGGGCGTTGCCAAAACCGATGTGCACCACTTCACCATCGAATTTAAACAGAGAACCTACAAAAATAGTGTGTTTTCGGGCAGTAAAGACCTCAATACAGCCAATTCAGTGTCCACTTCAGTCTCTCTCCTCCTATGAAGTATTGATTTGAGCCTACTCAGGGCCCAGTTGTCACGGTTATCTATGCGAGTTACGTAGTAAACCTGGCGATTTACTGCAGTCAGCATCGCCATTGTCGTCAGTGGCGATGTTTAATAAAGGCCTTAAATTGGGTGCAAAAACGATGCGTTCAACTAAATTAAATTTAGTAACTTGTGGGTTCAAAATGCCGCGACGTGTGATTCATCCATACAGCACTACTGCGTAGAGCGACGGCAACGACCTTGAGGAGTTGATCGTTAAAGGCAAACGCAGCCCTATAGGCGCTGTATTTGTTCACGTTATGCTGACCAGCAATTTTATATTATTTAGGCCAATGCGGAATTTGATTTTAGCAAAAGTGAGCCGGGACAACTTTCATGAAAAATTCGTGATTTACAGGTTCAACATGTGGCGGGGTGTCCTTAAAATAGGTCTGCACAGGTTTAGAATGACCTTCAAACATTGATAGTTAAATCACGCTGGCTAATTTTACAACCAAACTCGTTACCCGCATTCAAGCCAAAAGGTCGAAATAGGGTATGTGTCCCGATTTACCAGAAGTTCAAAATTTTGTTTTAATGAGTCCGCTCTGCAAAATCGGTGTGTTGTTCTGCGATGTCGAATTTAGGCACAATAGTAACAGCCTTCTGAAGTGACATTTCAGGGTAAACGGACTACTTTATGGGGTTTATTCGGTTGTGAGGTCTATGAAAAGCACCACAGCATTTTATCGCCATATTGGGAAATTTGATATTGTGCGACATGCGCATTTTTCAACTGATCTAGCCTCCTAACGCTTTCGTGTGCACCGTGAACATGGCATGAAACTGAATAAGTTGGTACTTTGGAGCGATGGTCGTCCAAATTTCAAACTGTAGGAACGCATCGACTGTAGCACTAATAGATAGCAACTTTTGTATGGGGCAGATGATGTAATTTAACACCAGTCAGTAATTCAAGAACTAAAGCTAATTAGATGCGCTGTTGGACGAGGAGAACCCCAGACCTTGTTTAATTGGTAGCTTTAAACGCAAGCGGAAATTTGAAACGATCGGGGTAAGCGTAGAAGTATGAACAGGGGTTGGAATGAGCGACTCGAAAACCAACAACATTATGCTATCCTCCACTCTTGATTGGTCCGTGTTATCGTTGAGGATCACAAGAATATTTAGTCATAACTGCAGAGTGAATGGGAGCCATCTTGATTGGAGCTTGGTCAGTAAATGCAAACCACAAATTCCCCACAATCCAGTCACACCTATTAAATTTCAAGCGGTAGGTGTGAAGACGTCTAATGGTTGACCATGGAAATTGGAAATCGAAACATTGTCCGCGTTTTCCGTTTTTTTATGCATGCAAGAGTGCTTAAATAAATTACTGAATTCAGACCCATGATGTTATACTGGCGTCTACTGCCAAACAACATGTTAAAACTTTTTAAACACTACCTATCACCAAGGTGATAGGATAGCCAATCAGGTATGAGTAGTGACCTTACCCAGGAGGCTGTAATTGGGTGTTTGGGGTGAACGGTCTTCAGACAGGTCTAAGGTGAAGCCGAAAACCGAGCCCCGACTGGTTCCTACCCAGAGAGACGGTTCTAGAAAAAAAGGACCAACCGACGAATGAGGAGTCGATTATGGTGTCGAGAGGATTAATTGCTTGGGGGGGAGGGGGGAAAGGGACCAACCATTTTTTCGCTCGCTCATGTCAACGAAGGCGAGTGTTTTCACACCCTCCAGAACCGTCTGATCGATTGAACTCTGTCCCGACGCGTCGGATTGCCTTTGGGAAAGCGAGTCGCCGTATTTGTCTGGAGAAAAAAAAGGAGGGCGACATTTGGAGAAAGCAGAGCACAATCAGAAGTCCAGTGAAGCAGGTAAATTCAATCGACAAAAACCACATTCACCGCAGGCAGTGCAAGGTTACTTTGCATAGCACATGCTGGAATTCCGTTGTGCGAATAGCTTTTAGGGTTTGGAGGTGCACGGCTGGTTCTATGAGCTACCCCGAATATTCAATCTCTTCGTGATTGCAATCTGGAGTGCCGATATCGAAGTTTTCAACGCCTAGTAGTCCATAATCGAAAATCGAAATTTAGGATAGGCCAGAAGCAGGCTATTGACACATTAATTTCATAAGGTGTAACCTTGCTAATACCAACCAGACAAGTGAAGGTGCCTCAGTACATTGTCTATCAACGGTCCAGTGGACTCGGAGGGGGGATTCGAGGTGACTTTAAATTTTTTGCAACCAGATTGTGGTAAGTGGAGCATCGAATCGCTGTGATATAGGGAAAATCAGTGATTGAGGCTGTGAGAAGCGTGAGCAATGACTCACAATCACCTTGACACCAACGAACTCGATTTAAACATTTCGTACAAGAGTGACATCGACGCAGCCTAACAATTAAGGCTTGTTACAAGCCACTGGACTAAAATAATCGATCGTGTCAGATGAAGGACTCATTGAATGAGGGTCATTTTGATGCCTCCCTAAATTCCTACCTCCGGTAAATGAAACCTCTTAAGCTTTACAGACATTACTGTAAATCCAGGATCATGTTTCCGTGGAAAAAAATTGACTGTATGATTAGCAAGAATGCCTCCGGACTCGTTATGGTTGGAAAACATGAGAATGAGAGCGAGATAATTTATCCCTGGTGTTCACGCAAACCAGATTTGTCATCTCTGATTTACCAATTGTGTTTCTGGTTTGGTCCCATTTCAGATAACCTTGGAACCAGCGCACACACACACACACACTCATTGAAATGCTGCGTAGCTGAGTGTCAGAGAATTCGGTTTAGTCAATTGCACAAAGCTAAGCATCCAGCTGGTGCGACAAAGACGTGCAAAATTGAAAGCCAATTGAACAAAAAACCGAGACAACGCCGATAAAGACTTTAGAGTTGCGAGCGCTTCATTCCAGTGCCATTTCCTGAGCCCTGAATAGGCGTTTTGTGTGAAAATAAGCTGTGTGCCAAGCAGCATCAAAGGTCGGAAGCGTTGTAAGTCTATGAGCGAGTATTTGGAACTACATTTTAGCCAGATTTTGACGATTTGGGTTAGATGACACCGAAGTTGTGTTAAAATTAACCAAAACACAACCAATTTTTGAGGAAAAAAACTTGCTGGTACAGTGGGTGGAACAGCAGCACAGCGCTAGGAACAAACAGCAGGACAGAAAAATATGGAAAAAAATTAGTGGGTAGCAAGGAATGGGGATGAGCCTGGTGCGTGTGGGAAAGAAGGGAGAAGCTGTGTGCATTGGTTAAGGGTGCTAGCATTATCATCATCATCATCATCAGTGCGAGCGATGTGTGTTTCCACAAAACTTTTTCCACCAACCAATCACCCTCCGAAACCAGTCTGATTGGTTGATTATGCATGCTGAAATCACTCGTCAGGATACGATAACTAGGTCAATTATCTTTTCTATTTTGTCATTTGGCAGATTTCGTGGTGGTGGTTATGCATCCGGTCGTGTCTGCGCAACCAACCGAAATCGTGATACCATATTCGCTGAACTGTGTGCTCAAGACATCGTCATCACGCTTTCGTTAATCTACTCTTCAAGACATATTTGCCAGATCTGGAGGAATAGCTATTCTAGTGTGGAAAGTTCAACATTCAAACAGCTGTGACCAATGCAGTGCAAGGAAATGATAAGAGATTATCTCTCCACCAATCAGTGTGACGCGTGTACTACAGAAGAAGGGTACAGGAGTGCTATTGTTGATTAGGGCGGAGATGGGTAGCAGAGGTCAACATGTACAATCTTTGTCCCAAGAATACCAAAAATTTCATTTAGGCCCTAGTAATTATGTTTGCTACTTTAATCATTTAAGTAGAAATGTCATAAAAGAAAAAAACCATGTGGTGCAAGGGGCAAAAATAAGGGAGAACACAGCAAGCCAGACAAAAGATTCACTTGAGATGCAAGAGGACTTCTTGCGCGGTTGGCTTTCCACAGGATCCGCGTGCGGAAACATCACTAGACAATTATAACAAAAACTTGTGGCTTTTAAATTACAGCCTGAAACGTTATGCTTACTATGGTTCATTAGTAGTATGATTAATATTATTCCAATCGCCTTGAAGTTCGAAGTTTGATGGGTGGGAAGGTCGGGAATTTTTCAGATTATGGCAGCGTGATCAACTTTGTCTACCAGACACGAGAAACAATTTGCCTCGACATGCAGAAATGATTCTGTGACATGCGAACAACGATGAACTTGCGTTGGCGTATTTCAAACCTTGTGACTTAGTCCTCTTCAGATCGGATCGCGTTGAGACGCGAGAGAGAGCAGTCATTCGCGGAGGTGTCCCGATGACACTCTCTGAGCCACCCATACTCATGAGCATCTCCTGTGTGGGCTTAGTCGGTTTCGGTGGGGAGCCAATCTGTACTGATTGAGCGTTCAACATTTCGTGGGACTGCGTGAGAGACGGTACGTTGGCGCATTAAGCTCATTTAAAAATGTATACAATTCTGCCTACTGACAAACAACAAGTAGCAAGCAAAGAGTATTACTTGCGGCCAGTAATGGAGAGGCGGCCAAAACGACGCCAGGTTCAACATCCGTGCTGGTTTTCGGTTTGGTGCCGTTTGTACCACGAAAATCGATAAACTTTGTGTCTGTTGACGAGCTTGTTGTTATCGGATGATGGTGCTCGTGATGATGGTGGTGATGAATGTGCAAATGATGATGCTGATGAGGCTGGTTGGCTGTTTGTCTGTCGGGTGACTCGGTGAAAAGTGATGACATGCGTCTGAACGGTCGACGGACCTCCCTGTGGATGGCACTGGGGATCACGGTTGACCTGCGGAGGAGCTTGTGGTGCAGAGGCTGCGCCGTCTGGAGCACGGGTGTCGCCTGTGCAGGTGCGTCTGGTTCGACTGTCATGCTGGCTTGTCGAGACAGTGGTGGGGAACGCTAACAAGTCACATGCAACAGGCACGGGTTAAGGTAGCATGCACATGCAGGAAGTATTGAATGCGCAAACAAATGCCATCCCATTACCTCTCGCATTCTCTAGGTTATGTGGATCGTATCGTGTCCAAGTTGATCTTTGATGACGCCAAAATGGACTACACTTAACCTTCTACCAGTTGATGGTTCGTCAATGATCGTCAATCTCGATGATTTTCCGGTGTTGATCAAGTACCCCCTGTTGACTTACTTACGGTCGACGTTATCTGCAAATCCAGTAAATCTTCTCACGGTTCTCGTTGCTTAGTCCCACGAATCTCCTAACCAATCATAGCACTGTTTACCAGTCACAAACCCACTGAATGACATGTTACCTTCAGTACTTGCGACTAGATCAGGCCCTAACGTGTTCATGTGGCTGCCATTCGTTGTGAAACAAATGGAACCCGTACGGCGACGCCTCGCCAAATAGCTGAATGGATCGGCCCGGTTGTGTGACCTTTAAGGTCAACCAATGACTGTGGCAGCGTGACACAGTCAACCCACATCGTCCAATGCCAGTCCTTCAACACCTTCTACTGCATCAACTCACTCCTCCCCCACACTGCCAGCACCACCACAAACTTGGAGACTGTCACCTCTGTCTCACAATCTAATACTTCAAATTAGGGCAGCCATGTTATCTGTCCACCTGATTCTAATCCAACGTCATATTTTACTGGCTGCGAATAATCTTTATGCCAGGATGTTTCGACGAACTATCCCTTTGAAAATATCCCTTTAAATCATAGAACCATGACATCTGGCAAGCTTCTGAGGCATGGAAAGAGACAAAGTACACTAAATGAATGGACTAGACATGCAATATCGATCATGCAGGTAAAAAGCGCATGCAAAGGCGGGGGGGGGTGGGGTTGATGAGGTGGCCTGGCCAAAGTCACTGAACCTACCTGATTTGTAGGATTCGATTTGGAGCCGTTTCCCGAGTTCGAGAAACGCGGGGAAGACTTTGTTCGAGGCCGGTTTGGAAGATCCAGAGCTGTAAGAAGGCAGGAAACGTTAATTTAGACATTCAGCGTTCCTGGTGTCTCCGTGGTTTTCGCAAAATTGGCAATTTCAGTTTCCGTTGCGTTTATAGGTGTGTCCGTGCACACGATTTCCAATAATCATATCGACCGCCTCCATCCCGTTGGCCCGGCCCTTTTCAACGTACAAATCATCGTAAACAATGTCCAGGTCACCTGAAAAGTTCAACGTACCAACTCCACCCATGGTCACTGGTGGATGTAGCAGCCTTATTTTGAGGCCAATCATTGCATGACATTGATTCTCTAGGTAAAATTTAAACCCCAAATTCGAGGACTAAACAAGCCCTAGCCTATGAGAGGAAATTTAATTCCTAAAATTCCTGTTGATCGGCAGGAAATAAGTTCTGCATTGTGTTAAAAAACGGCTGCTGGGGTAGAACGAATGGGATTATCCCACTAGAAGGGATTTTTATTTTCAAAGACAAAGCAATCAAGAAAGTGGTCGAAATGTGTTTGGGCATGAGGTGCCAGTCATCGGAGGTGGTATTGATTTTTGAGGTTAACATCAGACGCTTCAACATTTTCAGCGCATTTAAACAAGTGAGAACGGAATTACTGATTGGTTTTTGGCATCCAAATGTCCACTCATAGACGATATTTATTGCCCTGAAGCAACATTAATGGTTGGATGAGGGGAAATTTTACACGGCGTGTGCAATTTGTGCCCTAGCTTCGACTGACGAGGTGTAAATTTAAACAATATAGAATTTCCGGGAAAATTTTTCAGTGAAAATCGGAGGCAAACAGTGGGAGGCTGAGGAATTAAGTGCAAATGGAAAACTCTTGCATTTGACTTCGCCAATGGCGCTCTTATCTTCCGGTAGAACAATTCTTTTGAGAACTTTGCACATCAGGCACATCGCGAATCTAATGCCAAAGCAGCCCGCTTGTTGGAAGATTGTGCAACCCACACGAGGTGACTCTCAAATGCAATTCACGATGCACTAGCAGAGAAGAATACCTGCATTTTTATTATTATTTAAATTAAGTCCAAGATTTTGTCAAAAACCCATTATAGCAAGAGAGTAGGACGTTTTCCGATTTGAAAGGGTAGTCGGCACAAGTCCGTCCCTAACACGCATTTTTTTCTCACCATAATGGAAGGTAATGCGTGGGTTGTGAATATGCAGTCGTAGACAACGGTTGTTAGCTACGTTTCGCCAAGTGAAAGCACAGTGAACTCTGGCAGGAATCAGAACCAATCAGAATGACCGGAAGTTGGCAGGACATTCGAAATTCCCTTTTCGAATGTTCATTTTTAACTCTTTCCTCTGCTAAATTCAAGCAAAATTTTGTTACGGCAGGAAGAATATCGAAAAGTGACGCCCGCATCTGTTAGCGTAAATAAGGGTGTTATTTGAGGACTCCTCAACGCATTCCTGATGGTTATTCCTGATCTCATATTTGGTAAACCTGGACATCAAATTAAAAATTTCCCTCTGCCTGTCGATTTACTGAAAAAAATGGGGAGGGGAGGGGAATAATGTGCTGTCTGTGGAGGTGGTGGCGGTGGCAGAGGTTGGTACCTCTAGTGAGGTAACACGATGAAAATTATTTACCTCCAAGACCACAAGGAATTGCATAATAATCAAGCAGTGGATCTGATACTTAAAAAAAACAAGATCACCACATCATTGGTCTGCAGACTCACTTTTTTTAAAAAACACAGAGAGATGGTGATTTTCTCTATTTATAGTATGTCAGTGCAAGAACTTGTGATGTCCGGAAACCGTTCACTTTGTTATTTGAGCATGAAAATAGACCCGCAGCTCCTGCTTAGTTTTTTGGGCTCAAATCCCCTTAAATTGGCTATTTTCAAAGGGACTCAGCAAAGGATCACAATTGTCCTGAAGAAAAGAAGGCGTCGGTAAATGTGTGCTACAAAGATGGAGGTCTTGCTTGGCAGTTCAGGACGAAAAAAGGACTTTTGGTATCGATACAAGGGAATGTGAAAACCCATGTCCATCAGACTTGAAGCCGTATATTCCATCTTCTCAGGGTGCTCTGTCTAGGCTCAGTCGTGCCACGCCGACCACTCAGATGCCCGCATTTTCCTGGGCAACTCGAATTCTACTGGCTGGTTGGTTGCCCGTGACCTTGCATGCGAAATACTCGCGATAAGAGACTGTTTTCCTAGTCCTCACGGGTACTTGTGTGACGTCATGGAGCCAATCTAATGTGTACGTCTGGGTGTGATTTGAGATCCATTCCACGACCACTTCACAACATGCCGAGAAAGCCTTTTAAACCCTTAGTTTACACTGTCAAGAAAGCTATTTTTCTAAAGCAGAAGAAAATTTAGCTGAAACGGTGAAACAAAACATCAGAAAAGGGGATTCGGGCGTACCTTCGAGTTCAGGAACTGCAGCACACACGAGGCAGATGCCCTGGTAGTAATCGACAACAACGATGCCTCCATCGGTGCCGAACGCGAATCTAAGGAAATGAAAAACAAGATTCTGTGAAACACATATTAAAAAGGCAATGGATTTCCGCAAAACGATTGCACTTCGTCGATTTCTAATTGCAGCCTGTGACATGTTAGGTAGCAAACAGGTTTTTATTCGCTTTCCTTTCAAGTCCACATGGCAAAAGGGCTCTTTTATTAAACATTCTTATAACACTTTCCACTTTTGTTTTCCCTTTAAGAAAATGAGTGTCAGACTAGGCTGAACAACCTCCTCCAGGCAGCAAGTTGGGTAGTAGTTGCTGTGAAGCTCGTTGCAACAGCTAACTCCAGACGGTGCAAACAGCCCTTAAGTGGGCATTTTGAAGAGCAGTTTGAAATTTACAACTGGGGCAAATGAAGCTGCGTGCAAAGGCACAAAAGGAAGTACAAAAACAGCACGAAGTGGAGAAGTGGTGTTTGATATCCATCTTGACAAATGAAATGAGCAGAATGATTGTGCACAAAATACATCGTTTTTGTTCACACAAAAAAAACAGCTGAACTGAGATTCAGGAAATAATCACAAGAGTCAAAATTTTCCGTTTAATTTGCGTGGAGTTTGAATTCACGAGGTTGAGAAAGTTAAACAAACGAAATCTGACCATTGGGAAAACACAACAAACGGCAATAAGTAATCGGAATTGATGTGCTGTTAGAACTGCGCGCACGGATGGAAGTTACACATGAGTTCCGCATCGTATTGACAGAGTAGGATAGGAGTACACCATTGTGTTTGGAGGCCAATCACAAATAGAACTATTTCAGAGTGATGGTTTTGGGAATTGTCGGGGAATGATAGAACGACAGAGGGGAAAGGAAGGGGTGACGTGTAGGTGTGGCTGCAGCCGAAATCCAGCTTCACAGTTCAAAGTCCAAAATGTGCTTTCTAGAGACACCTCATCTAGCAATTTCACGATTAAATCAGTGCCGAGAGAAAAAATAAACCTCAGTGGCGCTAAGTTGCACCAATTTACACAAATCACAGAAACCAAACCGAGAGTCACTGTTCGCTTAAAAATTTTTTATTGGGCGAAACCTCCTGTCCACAACCAACGTTGAAGTGCATTTTCGAGCTAGTTTGCTTCACTTAATGTGCAATTAAAACCACGAATAAAACAAAGCGAGTGTGAAAATGGGTTGGATTTGCCCCCCCCCCTGAAATGGAGCGCTTCAATTGGAAACAGAAAGAGGCCATTTTTAAGAAGTAAAATAACGGGAGAGTACAAACATGATTCCGTCTTTTCCACAGTCACACTTTAAGTTAAGAATTTTGGCCGAACGATGAGAATCGCAATGATGATGATGATGACGCGGCTCACAAGAGTTTTTCTGTTGATTTGATTTGAAATAGCCAATCGAAATAGCCCGCGAAAGAGTCCTAAGTGCAGGTTCTACCATGAACCACAGGAGTGCACATGAAAATGACTGTCAGCTTATTTGCGCATTTGAAACCATTGAAATTTGCTGTGCAGACTGGCTGAATTAGAGCCAGCGTCACATGCATGTTCACGGGTATATCACATAGTGAATTCGACAAGCACCAATTACTCAGAATCTCCTCAGATGACCGCTATTTAACCAATTACCTACTACTGATGGCGACAAGTAGCGCGTGGATTGAAAAAGTCTAAAAACGAACCGGAGAAATACAGTATATTTTGAAGTAAATTCCCAAAAGATATAACTAAACCAGTGCATGCGTTTGATCCTGGCTTAAATTGCATGGCCATCAGGCCAAGACGACAAGAGAAATAACGCTAAGAAATTGCAGCAAAGCCAGGAATTTTTAAGTCAAATATAACTTTTTAAGAATTTGTTATCTGAGCTTTCTATTGGCTGAGTTTGGATACTTGGAGTCCAAGTACTTATTTGCTAGGATCCTCGGACGCACGGTCTTAGCACTGAGTTTCGAGTCATGAAAATTGCGGATGCACAGCAAAAATAAGGCTCTGGTTTAAGAACAAAACTGGCTGGCCAAGCAATCTCATTTATTTGCCTTCCCGGCCTAATGCTGCCTACCACAAAACGGCCAATTTATGTGGGCGACTTGAGACTAGACGCAGTAAGATCAAATTAACTAATCAGGGAAATGTGACTTGTCTGGTTCAGGGGGATAATTAAATTAAATTTGACATCAAATTATGTTGTAGATGAGGAGGAGTGATGTGTCATCTTTCCTGGTTGTGACAGACTGGTCCATGACAGGGTAGCCTTCAAATGTACTTTGTGACTTGATGTCACGTAAAAACGTTCTAGTCTTCCTAAATTCAATTCATATTACATTTATATTAAATCAGAAATTTTTAAATAGAACAACGGAACTGAAACCACGCGATTTCAATTAGCCGTAGTTTGATTTTGCTGAGGAACCACTGGAACTGTTTTATTTTTCTATCGTGCGTTGTTTTTTCCCCATGAAGATGTTCGTAAAATAAAGTGGTGAAGGGAATAGAAGCCAAAACAAAAGACGGATAATTTAAAATGAAGAACTTCTACACGGAT